TGCCTCCCACTCCTAACTCACCGAGACGCCGCAGCATGATACCGTGGTCCACGGTATCAAAAGCCGCTGAGAGGTCCAAAAGCACAAGGACAGAGGAATAACCCCTGTCCCGGGCCCTCCAGAGATCATTTACCAACGTGACCAATGCCGTTTCCGTGCTGTGTCCCGGCCTGAAGCCCGACTGGTATGGGTCTAGATACATATAGGAGAAAAAAGCAAGTATAGGATGATTATCAGAGGGAAAAGTCCTGGAAAGAAATGAGTTATGGTAAGAAGCATTCAATCTTATTGGGCTAGATTTGTAGGAAGGAGAAAGCTACAAAGAAAAACTAGGCAACAAAGCTTCCAATGCTACAATCAGTACATTACATCTCTCTCCTTAACAGATTTGCTGCAGAAAAAAAAAAGATTAAAGAAATGGTAGGAAAATCTACAGTAAGCTATATCAGTTGGATTCCCACAACAGAGTAATTGCAAGAGCAAACCAGAACAAAATACCCCTGTTTGGAAGGATGTAATATGCATATATCTATAAATAACTAAAATACTGTGGATATATCCTCTGTTTAGGTGTAATCCTACACACACATCAGTATAAGAACAATCCACAAATTAATAGGTTTTTCAAATCCAGATGGGTGACTTTGGGCCAGTCACTTTCAATAAATCAGAAAAGAGCTGGAAAGGACTTGGAGTTTTTCTAGTCCAACTCCCTGCTCAAGCAGGAAACCCTATGCCATTTCAGACAGGTGGCTGTTCAGTCTTTTCTTAAAAACCTCCAGTGATGAAACATCTACAATTTCTGAATACAAGCTGTTCCATTGGCTAATTATTTTCAGTGTTAGGAAGTTTCTCCTTAATTCCAGGTTGTTTCTCTCCTTGATTAGTTTCCATCCATTGTTTCTTGTCTTGCCTTCTAGTGCTTTGGAAAATAAGTTGACCCCCTCTTCTTTGTGGCAGCCCCTCAAATACTGGAATATTGCTATCATGTCATCCCTAGTCCTTCTTTTCTCTAGACTAGCCAAACCCAAATCCTGCAACCGTTCTTCATATGTTTTTGTCTCCAGGCCTTTAATCATCTTAGTTGCTCTTCTTTGCACTTTTTCCAGTCTCAACATCTTTTTTGTAATGTGGTGACTAAAACTGGATGCAGGTGTGGTCTCTCTCAGACCTACCCACATCACAGGTTTGTTGTGGGGAAAATAGGTGGAGGAAGGTGTGCTGTTTACTGCCTTATTTGTAAAAATAATAAAGGTGGGATATAAATAAATAAATGGATTCATAGTTGGGTCCATATAATACTAAACCAAAACAAATAAAAACTCGTCCCCACTGCTGCTTAACGTTATATTTGAACCACATGCTTACAAGAAACCTGCAAGTAAAACATGGTTTCAAGGATTATGATTCAGATTTCGCTGAATGCAGTGGGGTTTATTTTTGAGTTAGCATGTACAAAATTATGTTAAGCTTTTCAAAAACCATTCACAATATGATCACTGTAGTCACAGATAGCCATATACATACAATATTCAGAAGGCTGCTCCATTGAGTTCAATAGGGTTTACTTCTAGATAAGTGGACATCTGATTGTAACCTTAAGCTAACAGTTACCATTAAATGTCATAACTGACTATAGATAATGTGAAAAACTAATATTTTACTTGCAGGTTTTCTTAGTAATTTAAAAACTCATACAGAGTGTTTTATCTAATTCATTATAAGAGAAGAAAACTGATCACCTGCATCTGCAACCAAAATATTTCTTACACTTGACTAAATGAAGAGGTCAAATAAGTAGGAACATTTAAGCCAGTCTTTGTTTGATGACCATCCACCTGAACTGAATGTGGAAACATACATCTACTAAGAGATATTGTCACTGACTTCCATAGAAACAACTTGAGAGTCACAGGTTTCACTACTGTTTATTTTCTTCTAAAAATAGTCAGATCAAAATTATCTATGGTTCAATTGGTGAGAGAATCTGAAGATTCTGCATGTAAGAAGACAATTCTTCTAGAAAATGGAGCTGGAAAACTGAACTTTTATCTGCTATGTCTAGTTTAATGAAGTCGCAGGAAGGAAAACCTTGGATTTAAATGGAATGTATTTAAATGTATTTACCCAGAATGGCCCATTGAATTCAACTGTGCTCATAAGGCAAATGATTAAAAAATATATACCAACAAAAGTATAGGATAGAATATTTGTATTTTTATGCTACTGTCTTTGGCAAGCATACTTTAGCCTAATGCTATTGCCTAGTCTGGGCTTCTTTTATAAACAGAGTAAGTCACATCAGTGGCTGAGCATGCAGCTAATATAGGCAGTTGTAGTTGGAACAACAAGCCATCTTTATGTATCTGTGAACCCAGTCTCAAGGTACTATTGACCCCAGAGCCAGAGAGCCACTTTTTACCTTAGAGTTACACTGCTTTATCTACTTTGGACCTTGGACTGAAGACATGGCTCAATTTGCTTGGAATGGAAGTAGATCTGTTGTTTCATATTTCTGAGCTTTTTTGCCCTCTCTACCTTTGCACCTTTTCCTCTTATTTGCAGGAAAATATGGCATCTGACCTAATGCCTGCCCACACTATAAATGCTGCTAACTCAGCAGGCAGTAAGTAATGTAGTGTAAGATTCTCCATTTACAGATCCAGACATTGCTTCTTGACTCCTGCTAGTAGGTTTGGTTGCTTGCATCTGCTTCCTAGTCACTAAAATCAATTCCTTCCAAGCTCAATTTCCCTAAAAATGATGCATTTCAGTTTATCACTCCAAGTGGCACACACAACAAAATTCCACAGACTATTTCGTTGGAGTAAAATCTCCCAACACTGCAATAAAAGCTGAAATTTGTACTAATAATTTTGATTGTATGCTTTTAAACTTCATTATTGCTTTCAAGCCAAATTGGAACACCTAATTCCTAACCATTCTTGGCTTTTATAAAGCCTTCATTAGCCAACTAATATTTTCAACTATAATTTTATTTTGAAAAGCTTTCCATTTGTCATAAATAATCATAAGTGTATTTTTTTTCAAGATTCAAGATACAGTAGCTTAAAAAATCTCAAAAATCGGTCCTGGGTGCTATCTGCCCTTCAAGCAGGAGTTGTAAATCCAAGAGGGTCCCCAAATTGCACATCGGCTCTGAATGGGAGATTATAACCTTACCCAGAAAGAAGGAAATTCTCCAGTCTTGGAAAGAAAGCTTTCCTAAAATGATAAGTTACTGAAAGGCAATAGGAAAGGACAGTCAATTAATAAAAAGCTTGCTTGCACAGTAAATTCAGGTACCAAATTGAGAGAGATTAAACACACCATACACTAGCATACACAGAAAGAGGCATATGGCCATCCTCCCTTTTTGCAAACTCTGGCTTATTTAATTACTAGCCTGACCCAATTTCCTTTTTCCAAACAATTAGTTTCAAGTACTCCTTCTTGCCCCTACTCCCATGAGTACTGACTCATACAAAATTGAAGCTGTAAGTAGATTGCCCAGC